AAAATGTGCTTCTTTTTACCTCTACAGACCTTACTGCAATGATAAAAGTTATTGAATGAGAGGGCTTGGCTTATCAGTGGTGAACCCTCTCAGCGATTTAGCCAAATTAATCACAAGACCGCTCTACTATTGTATTGGATTGGCTTTCTTATATATCCTGCATTTCCTATGGAAGGCAACTTAGTGGTGTTTAGGGAATATATGGACAGACGCTTATAGGTCTATAAAGGTACATACATATAATTTCAAGGAATTGCATCGAGCAAAGATCCTCCGCAAATTTGCAAATGCAGTAAGGTCTGTAGAGATAAAAAAAAACATTTCTTGAAATTAAATGTTACAGATTTTATTAGTAACATAAAGGTAACTTAAGCTTCTGGAGCGTATCCTTAGATCACCAACTACCAGAAAATTTTATTTATATATGGCAATTAAATTCATAAATAAAATATCTATATCAACATATAATGTATAGTTAAAGACTAAACCTTATTAGATACGACCTTTTGTCCATGTAACCACCATCAATGCAGTTTTTGACTCTAGCTTCCTTTTTAGTTTAGTTCGTATTACCACAAAGGTCAGAGGAAATGAAAGTTAAAGGGGTGAAGTAATAACAAGAGAACTGGTAGCATCAATTTGCATATAAGATAGTGGTCCGTAGTCAAAGGAAACCATGAAATATTTATTTTCTCACAGAAGCAGCTAACTTTAAATATATTCCTTTAAGGGAAAACAATTCGTTTTTGAGGTAAAAATTTCCATAAATCCTTGAAAATAAAAAGGAAGCTTTTACGCATGCGCTAATAAAGTTTCTCTACCAATAAGAAGCGTCGAATCTATTGCAGACGATCTATATAAACAGGAAAGAAGGGGAAGAAGATAGAGAGCTTACCAAGAAGCTTGAAGGTAAGTTGAGTTTTTCTTCTGTAATAGAAGATATTGTAGAAAAAACATCTTATATGGCAGTTTGAATTTATATATTATAAATAAATTTCTGTTGATTTTAGATAAATATTGAGGCATAGAAGTATTACTTGCTGATGCTGATTATTTTGAGGATACATGAGTATTTTGGCAATAGTATGTAATATATGAGTATTTTATGATATTGTTATGTAATATATGAGTATTTTATGATATTGTTATGTAATATATGAGTATTTTATGATATTGTTATGTAATATATGAGTATTTTATGATATTGTTATGCAGTATAGGTATTTTATGATATTGTTATGTAATATATGAGTATTTTATGATATTGTTATGCAGTATAGATATTTTATGATATTGCTATGCAGTATAGGTATTTTATGATATTGTTATGCGGTATAGGTATTTTATGATATTGTTATGCAGTATAGGTATTTTATGATATTGCTATGCAGTATAGGTATTTTATGCTATTGAAGTCGCGGTAAAATAATAAAACAGTTGTAATCACAATTTTCTTTAATTGTGCTAATATAAACAATTTAAGAAGAAATAACTGATTCGAAGCGTAAAGAAGAGAATAAAATATTACGTATTTACATATGTGCAAAAATATTTGAGCAGGCCAACGTAGAAACGGAAATATCTTTATTAACGGGGCTTCTAACTAAAATGAATGATTTTTGAGCCCCGATGGACCCATAAAGCGGAATATAGATAAAACACTGTTGGAGGGGCCTGGGGATGGGTGGCCAGAGGATCATCGCCAGGTGAGGCCAGGAGAGCCGGGGTGTAGAGGAGAATCAGGGGGTGCAGGGTGGTGATCCGCGGAGATCAGGGGGCGGCAGAGACGGGTCCAATAGTATTGAGCCCAGGGGTGACCGTTGAGAGCAGACATACCGCAATGCTTAAAGTGTATGATTTTAAGCTCAAAACAATGTAGCAGGCAGACAAGCTGCAATGCACTATATCAAAGTACCAAGGTGCTGCACGCAACCAAGGCTGTTCAAAAAGGTTAGATTCCCCAGGCCAGGGAAGTTAAAATAAATACAGTTTGTTGTTTAAATAATAAAACTAGATAAAGCGAGAATGATTCAGCAACTGATGGGAAAAGATAGATTTTCTTTTTGTAAAAATGAATATATAAAAGTTTTAGATAAGATTACTAGTGAGGGTACCAGTACTAAGGCAACCAGCCACAAAAATACACCAAAGATTGCATAGCGCGCTCAAATGGGTCGCTGCGTAAGTCGATTTCTCGAGCAGCCCGCGCCGTCGAATCGCCAAACCATTTTCCCTCTGTCCTTGGGTTACAGAGAAAGCGTCAGGGGCGATCACATACACAGGGCAGGTCGCGAAACCGATCTTAAACAGCGGCACATGCCAAGAATGGGTTTATAAAGGGAAAGCCGCGACATCTGGCGGTCGACATAATAGAGTAGTTTATTCTAAAAGTTATAATTTTAAAAAAATAAATAATTTTGACGTGACAACGTCTTAAATTAGGTTGTGGCTGGGAGTCACTTATGAAAAAGTGTAACGCCCGGTAACGTTACGATGAGTCACCGAACGAGAGTGCTGGGCGCGCAGCTGCGCGCGCAGCGCTAGAGAATTAGGCGCATTGAATCGGCGCATGCTTGTCTCTGTCTTTGTCTTTCTCGAACGTTCTTGGCGTTGGAAAAACAAGAAAGCGTCATAATACAAGTTCACACGTGTGGTTAAAGTATCGTCAGCTGTGTCTGTAGTGAAAATGTGGAGTGCTTAGATTCGTCATTTACAACAACTACAACAATAAAGGTAAATAATTGTACACTGATATTTCATTATCGTAAACTATGATTGATTGATTAATTGTTAGATTGACACAAAAGTTGAGAAACTGAGTTTATAGGTTATGTCATACTATTGATAAATGTTGATAGTGTTAAGTAAATTATTAGTTTGAAATTAATTAATTAATTAATTATTATTTTACAAATTTTAAATAGTTTCAAATTTATTTAGCAAAAATTTGAACCTTCGATCTGAATAAATGTTTTGATTTTCGAATTGATTCTTTAAAATTACAAATATTAAGAAAAAGTGGCAGATATAAGAAAACTTTATTTAAACTGTGTTGAGCAAGAATTTTAACATCTAATTTAAGTAAATGTTTTAATTTTCAACTTCATCATTTACAATTACAAATTTTGGAAGTGTTCCAAGTTGCGATTACAGACGTAACTCGTGTCATTAAAACCAAGGGTGACATGTGCATGACTGAAGTTACTTGCTTCGCCGCTAATACTAGCTTCAAGTTTATACTCGGTGCTGTATATATTCATCCAGGAGCTAGTATGCAGGATATTGGAATGTTACTATGGCAAGGACTCGGTCCGTACATTCACAACAGCCAGTACGTGCCACCGTTCGTGCAAGTTGATTCTAGTATACCGATTCTTCTGTGTGGTGATTTTAACAAAAACGTAAAGCCTGACAACTCGTTTCTTAATTTCATGAAAAATACGTATAATCTTGATTGCGTATCAAACGTTTCTAAGTCAACTACGTTAAAAGGAACAACTATCGACTTGACTTTCGCAAGACACATTACAGCAGAAACACTTCCTTTCATTTCATATTTCTCCTATCATCGTCCTATCCTCAACAAAATCACTCAAATAGGAATTAGTTAAGTTTAAGTTTACATGTACAATGTTTTAGTAAACAAAATATATTTCTATAGTTAAAATTTGTGCAATTCTTATTTCATTCAATTCCTTGTTCCTATTGTGCAATTTAATTATATTCATATCAATAAATATTCTACCGTTGTCACGTAAAATCTTCGCCCGTAAAACCGACTTTACAGGCAACCATTTTTATATAACATATATATTAATTAGGCTGACGAGGGTCAACAGCATGAAATGTGTACGTGGTTGAATTTTCTTGATTTGTCACGAAAATGGGCTTGCCCCAAATATCACGTAATTAATTAGATCAATATTTAATTGGATGGATGTCACTCTTGTGAAACGTCCCGTTCCAAACTGTGTGTTTTTAAAATGTTTTAATTAAAATACTATTCGTTACAATTATAAATTGGCGCCGTGGATGTCTCTCTTGTGAAACGTCCCGCCCCAAACTGTGTGTGTCTTGAAAATATAAAAATAAAAATGTGAATTTTCATAAAGATATCATCATGTTGAGCCTATCGTTCAAATATAAAATTCGAATAAATATAAATGAGATACTAAAAATTAAATACCTATTTAATGAATATCATATTTTATTCTTATAAAGGTACTTATATATAACTAGACGAATGGCCCGGGCAACTCCCGGGTTTTACCCGAGTGCGTATATATTTTAAAAACGTTTTAATTCAAATACTATTCGTTACAATTATAAATTGGCGCCGTGGATGTCTCTCTTGTGAAACGTCCCGCCCCAAACTGTGTGTGTGTCTTGAAAATATAAAAATAAAAATGTGAATTTTCATAAAGATTTCATCATGTCAATTTTTTTTTTTTGCATTTCACCTACTAAATCGATAGAGATAATTACATTTGCAACATGAACTTAGGCATATTGACTGAATAGAAAACTGCATAGTAATAAAGATCATTTTTTAAAGGCACCATATCGGTTTTTTTTTTTTCAATAAAATCGAAACAAAAATTGCCTTAAAAAAAGAAACATTCGCGGTGATTTTGTCTTGCATTCGTTTATACAATTATTATATATATTGGCATCATATATTAACTTTATGAACGGAAAAATATGTCCAGGGTAGCCTAGTGGTCATGGCATCTGCCCGGTAAGCGGAAGGTCGTGGGTTCGATTCCCATCCCTTGACACTTTTTTTATTTTATCCATTTTGACCAAAATCTATCCGTGAACTTCACACAGTGAACTTCACACAGACAGAATAAGGCAATTGTATAAGTAGGTGATGATTATTATGTTAGCAAATGAATTAGTCAGTATTCCCATGGTCTCCAGCGAAGAGGTGTGAATTGACCTTTTGGAAATATACATAATTATAAAGATAGAAGCTTCTATAGAAATGACTAAAATAAGCCGAAATAGCTCAGTTGGGTGAGCGTTAGACTGAAGATCTAGTGGTCATGGCATCTGCCCGGTAAGCGGAAGGTCGTGGGTTCGATTCCCATCCCTTGACACTTTTTTTATTTTATCCATCCTGACCAAAATCTATCCGTGAACTTCACACAGTGAACTTCACACAGACAGAATAAGGCAATTATATAAGTAGATGATGATTATTATGTTAGCATAATTAATTAGTCAGTATTCCCATGGTCTCCAGCGAAGAGGTGTGAATTGACTTTTTGAAAATATACATAATTATAAAGATAGAAGCTTCTATAGAAATGACTAAAATAAGCCGAAATAGCTCAGTTGGGGGAGCGTTAGACTGAAGATCTAAAGGTCCCTGGTTCGATCCCGGATTTCGGCATCTTTTTTTAATATTTTATATTTTTTAAAACGATGACAGAATTGATGACTCTGACCAAAATCTATCCGTGAATTTCACACAGTGAACTTCACACAGACAGAATAAGGCAATTATATAAGTAGATAATAAATAATTATCATTAGATAATGATAATGATCATAATGATGATGCGCGCGTTAATGAACAAAATCTATCCGTGAACTTCACACAGTGAACTTCACACAGACAGAATAAGGCAATTATATAAGTAGACTAGACGAATGACCCGGGCAACGCCCGGGTTTACCCGATTAAATGTTTTATTCAAACACTATTCGTTACAATTATAAATTGGCGCCTTGGATGTCACTCTTGTGAAACGTCCCGCTCCAAACTTTACAGTCAGATTAGTTACGATATAAATCTTCAAATCGAGCGAGCGTCTATAAATATTTCGATTTAATATTTAGTTTTATTATTTAATTTTTATATAATTTAAAATAACCTATCGTTGTCCTAGGTCGTAGTGGTCATGGCATCTGCCCGGTAAGCGGAAGGTCGTGGGTTCGATTCCCATCCCTTGACACTTTTTTTATTTTATCCATTCTGACCAAAATCTATCCGTGAACTTCACACAGTGAACTTCACACAGACAGAATAAGGCAATTATATAAGTAGATAATAATAATGATAATTATCATTAGATAATGCTAATGATCATAATGATGATGCGCGCGTTAATGACCAAAATCTATCCGTGAACTTCGCACAGTGAACTTCACACAGACAGAATAAGGCAATTATATAAGCTTTTATGACAGTAGAATCCCTATATATATAAAAGTCAGTGTATGTATGTATGTATGTATACATGTACACATGTACACATGTATACATGTACATGTATGTATATGTATGTGTTAAAAGTCGTAACATACAATATGTAAATATATCTTTTGAATGTATGACTGGACATGTAGATTTTCTAATTGAATGTATAAATTATTATTATGTAAATTTCCCATTTGTATATAACTAAGCCGTGTTGTCTAAATAAAGAGTTTCTAAGTAGAAGAGTTTCTTAGAGTTTCTTAGAGAGTTTCTTAGGAGAGCTTCTGCGCGTGTAGCCGCTGGTTTCTGTCTTCGCTATTTTCCTTCCTGGCTTGATCACCCAAAGGCAGTCCAATCAATATCAAGACTCTAGGTGAGGGTCTTACTTGTTGGGAGGAGGTTCCTTCAATCTTGACCTCGCGTAATCTCAACATTTAATGACGTCCCCGGGTGGGCTGCGTGGGCTGGTCAAGTAGAGAAGGCGGGAAGACCTGTAGGCGCTGTCTCCCGAGGAACAGAAGGCGGAAAGACCTGTAGGCGCTGTCTCCCGAGGAACAGAAGGCGGGAAGACCTGTAGGCGCTGTCTCCCGGGTAAAACAGGCTCAAGGTACAAGAAGCTAAGGAAGCTCAAGGTACAAGAAGCTAAGGAGGCTCAGGGTACAAGAAGCTAAGGAGGCTCAGGGTACAAGAAGCTAGAGAAGCTCAAGGTACAAGAAGCTAAGGAGGCTCAGGGTACAAGAAGCTAGAGAAGCTCAAGGTACAAGAAGCTAAGGAGGCTCAGGGTACAAGAAGCTAAAGAGGCTCAAGGTACAAGAAGCTAGGGAAGCTCAGGGTACAAGAAGCTAAAGAAGCTCAAGGTACAAGAAGCTAGGGAAGCTCAGGGTACAAGAAGCTAAAGAGGCTCAGAGTACAAGAAGCTAAAGAGCTCAGTGAAGCTCAAGGTTTAAAGGAGCTCAAAGGGCCCTTCGTTAAAGGTTAAAAAGAGCCCAGTGAAGCTCAAGGTTTAAAGGAGCTCAAGAAGCCCTTTGTTAAAGGTTAAAAAGAGCTCAGTGAAGCTCAAGGTTTAAAGGAGCTCGAGAAGCCCTTTGTTAAAGGTTAAAAAGAGCTCAGTGAAGCTCAAGGTTTAAAGGAGCTCAAGAAGCCCTTTGTTAAAGGTTAAAAAGAGCTCAGTGAAGCTCAAGGTTTAAAGGAGCTCGAGAAGCCCTTTGTTAATGGTTTAAAGGAGCTCGAGAAGCCCTTTGTTAAAGGTTAAAAAGAGCTCAATGAAGCTCAAGGTTTAAAGGAGCTCGAGAAGCCCTTTGTTAAAGGTTAAAAAGAGCTCAGTGAAACTCAAGGTTTAAAGGAGCTCAAAGGCAAAGAAGTTGAGGATACCTACAAGGGAAAAGGCTACCTACAAGGTAAAAAGGATACCTACAAGGCGAAAGGATAACTACAGGGTGAGATGGAGGATATTAGCAGAAGGCGTAGAGAGGCGATAAGAGGCGTTTTTACCGAGGTGGTAAATGATATGAATACAAAGTTAAGGAATCCTCTTATTGACAAAAGTGGCATATATGCCAAATTTGATGGATTGGAAGCTCTCTATTTGGAGCTGGTGGTGTTGAACGAACAATACCAGGAAATTTTATTAGCCAAAGCTGAGGCTACCGATGATGAAATAGATAGGGAGTTTGAGGAGTGTGAACCCTACATCACGGAAAGATATTATTTAAAGACTAGAATTCGCATAATGCGTGAGCAGGATAGGGATGCTCAGGTCAAGACTTCTCAAATTCCACCAGGGGCGTCTAGTGCCTCTCCGAATTCAGAGACCGATAATCAGAAAGTTATCAAACTTCAGACTATTTCTACGTCTCTACCGAAAAGCCCGGAAGAGTCCATGAAAAATGAAATTGAAGGCGTGGAAAAAGAGGATTCTGTAAAAACTGCTAGAGCTACGGATGTGAAGCCTACTCTAGCTAAAGCTAGAATGCTAAAGGAAGCTTGTCCAGCTCCCTCTATAATGGATATTGAATATGAGGGCAAAAAAGGTGCTGTGAATGCTATTAAAGAAAAGAAGGAATTGAACGCAGCAGTTGAAGGCGGTGAAAGGAGGGAAACAGAAGCGGCAGTTAAAAGCAATAAAGTGAAGGATTCTGAAACTGCAGTTGATGGCTATGTAGGTGTGAAGGAAGCTGAGGCTAAAGACAAAGCAAAGGAAACGGAAGCTAAACCCGATAAAGTGAATTCTAAAAACGGAGATAAAGGAGATGAAGTAAAAGAATCTGAAGGTCAAAGAGCAGGAGATGAAGGCGACGGAGTAAAGGATTCTGAAGCGAAGCCTAAGGGCGAAGGCGTAAAGGATTCTGAAGAGGAGCCAAAGGGCGAAGGCGTAAAGGATTCTGAAGCGAAGCCTAAGGGCGACGGAGTAAAGGATTCTGAAGATGAGCCTAAGGGCGACGGAATAAAGGATTCTGAAGATGAGCCTAAGGGCAACGGAGTAAATGATGCTGAAGCAAGACCAACTGGAGATACGGAATCTAAAATAAAGAATAAGGGAGATCTACAAAAACTTAAGGGCAACCCAGGGGATTGGCTCTCAAGGTGGGGGCAATTTGGTAGAAATAATGCCAATGAAAAATATGAAGAGGCAAATTTAAATGATAAGGAAGATTCTGAAGCGAAGCCTAAGGGCGACGGAGTAAAGGATTCTGGGGCTGCAATTAAAGGTTATGAACCGGTGAGCAGTAGCTGAGGGTACTGATTCAAAGGTGGAAGAAGAAAATCTAGATGTAGAACAAGGTACTGATTCAAGGGTGGAAGAAAACCCAGATGCAGAACAAGGTACTGAATCAAGGATGGAGGAAGGGATTATTGATCCAAAGGATTGGTTTAAGAGTGAGTCCAGGGCTGCGCCTATACGGCCAGTATTTGGCGACACTTCCTGTCGAGGACGCAGCGGACTGTCCTTGAGGCGATATTTAAAAAAGATACCCATTCTACTGAGGAGAATCTCGGAAATAAGGATAAAATATCGGGAGAATAAGTTCGGAAATTTGGACGACATCAAGGAAAATGATTGGGACTACCTCCGATTTCTTTGGAGGAAGAAGATGGACGCTTAAGGGGCAACCTCCGGTGGTGTGTATGGAGAGGGTGCCGCAGTATGCCGGATTTTTTCTTTTTACAAAAAAGAAAGGTGGGGGTATGTTAAAAGTCGTAACATACAATATGTAAATATATCTTTTGAATGTATGACTGGACATGTAGATTTTCTAATTGAATGTATAAATTATTATTATGTAAATTTCCCTTTTGTATATAACTAAGCCGTGTTGTCTAAATAAAGAGTTTCTAAGTAGAAGAGTTTCTTAGAGTTTCTTAGAGAGTTTCTTAGGAGAGCGAGAGCTTCTGCGCGTGTAGCCGCTGGTTTCTGTCTTCGTTATTTTCCTTCCTGGCTTGATCACCCAAAGGCAGTCCAATCAATATCAAGACTCTAGGTGAGGGTCTTACTTGTTGGGAGGAGGTTCCTTCAATCTTGACCTCGCGTAATCTCAACAGTATGTGTGTGTGTTTGTTCCTATGTCGGCTATACACGTCCACAATACGTAACTAATCTGACTGAAATTTCAACAGTATATATAGTAAAATCTGGAAAAACTTTTAGCGAAAGTTTCAGGTCTCTATTCCGAATATTCTTCGAGTTATTTGCAAATTTCGTTGCAAATTTGCCCTTTCGCTCGCAAGCAGCGCCTCTAGCGGTTAAGATGGGAGGTAATATTCGCTGACCTAATAGACATGTAAAACGTGTTTTAACAGGACATAGAGAAAAATCTGGAAGAGATATTTATCAGAATTTTAGCCAAGAAAAATTTAAATTGACAGGTTCTGGGCAAAAATAGTTGTTTTTTAGTC